AGCACCTATGTGTCTTGTGTTGAGCACCTATGTGTCTTGTGTTGAGCTCCTATGTGTCTTGTGTTGAGCACCTATGTGTCTTGTGTTGTGTTGAGCACCTATGTGTCTTGGGTTGAGCACCTATGTGTCTTGTGTTGTGTTGAGCACCTGTGTGTCTTGTGTTGTGTTGAGCACCTATGTGTCTTGTGTTGAGCACCTATGTGTCTTGTGTTGAGCACCTATGTGTCTTGTGTTGAGCACCAATGTGTCTTGTGTTGAGCACCTATGTGTCTTGTGTTGAGCACCTGTGTGTCTTGTGTTGTGTTGAGCACCTATGTGTCTTGTGTTGTGTTGAGCACCTATGTGTCTTGTGTTGAGCACCTATGTGTCTTGTCTTGTGTTGAGCACCTGTGTGTCTTGTGTTGAGCGCCGATGTGTCTTGTCTTGTGTTGAGCACCTATGTGTCTTGTCTTGTGTTGAGCACCGATGTGTCTTGTGTTAAACGTCGGTGTGAGGTATTTGCGGTTTGTCCTCCCCAGCAACAGGAAGCTCCCATCATTGACGACATCGGCACTGAGAAGGTGGTGGCCGTCTACGACTACACGGAGCGCTCGCCCAGGGAAGTCTCCATGAAGAAGGGCGATGTGCTCACTCTGCTCAATTCTACCAAGGAGGTCAGTCACTCTCTCTCTCTCTCTCTCTCTTTCTCTCTCTCTCTGTCTTTCTCTCTCTCTCTCTCTCTCTCTCTGTCTCTCTCTCTGTCTCTCTCTCTGTCTCTCTCTTTCTCTCTCTCTCTTTCTCTCTCTCTCTCCCTGTCTCTCTCCCTCTCTCTCTCTCTCTCTCTCTCTCTCTCTCTCTCTCTCTCTCTCTCTCTCCCTCCCTCCCTCCCTCGGTAGGAGAAATAGCATAGCTGCCAACCAGTACAGAATAAGCATTTATTCATGTTTTTGAGGGTCTAAGTAGGACACAGTGTGTGTTTGCCCCCGGGAGTGGTGGACCGTGGACGTGACCGATGGATGGTCCATCGACGACCCTGAACCACTGAGATATTCCCCTACAATATATTCCATCAACGACACACCCTGAAACTCCGAGATTTTCCCATCCAATGTATTCCCCTCCTGTGTTCCCCTACAATGTGTTCCCCTCCTATGTGTTCCCCTACAATGTGTTCCCCTCCTATGTGTTCCCCTCCAATGTGTTCCCCTACAATGTGTTCCCCCTACAATGTGTTCCCCTACAATGTGTTCCCCTACAATGTGTTCCCCTCCTATGTGTTCCTCCAGGAATGGTGGAAGGTGGAGGTGAACGACCGCCAGGGGCTGGTGCCGGCCGCCTATGTGAAGAAGCTGGACCCGAGCCTGTCGGCCTCGCGCAACAACCTGATGGATGAGTTCACTATCTCCGTCAGACAGAACCAGATCGAGACTCAGTGAGTGCACGCCACAGTTTGTCCTTTTGTTGGAAGTCTGTGTGTGACTGTGAGATGACACATTAGCCACAATGTGTCGTTTGTTGGAAGTCTGTGTGTGACTGTGAGATGACACATTAGCCAGAATGTGTCGTTTGTTGGAAGTCTGTGTGTGACTGTGAGATGACACATTAGTCACAATGTGTCGTTTGTTGGAAGTCTGTGTGTGACTGTGAGATGACACATTAGCCAGAATGTGTCGTTTGTTGGAAGTCTGTGTGTGACTGAGATGACACATTAGCCACAATGTGTCGTTTGTTGGAAGTCTGTGTGTGACTGTGAGATGACACATTAGCCAGAATGTGTCGTTTGTTGGAAGTGTGGTTTGCTCCCTCTTTCCTCTCCAACATCTAAAGCCCTGATTCATCCTCCTTTTTTTGTTTGTTACCCTTCAGTTACACCTTTTATCTTGGGCACTTATATGACCTTATTGTGTTACAAGTGCCGTAAAACTCTTACTCAAGCTAAATATAGTGTGATCAGCATTTGCTCTATTTAACAATTATATAGTGAAGATCTTGTTGCCTGTTTGTCCTACCATTTGTCACTGGTCGCTATCTCGTTTGTCGGTTTCACTACATCAGTGTAGTTTTGTTGATCTTTGAAGAAGAGTGTTTATTTGGTGTTTAGATTAGATAGTCAAGGAAGAGTGTTTATTTGGTGTTTAGGGCAGATAGTCAAGGAAGAGTGTTTATTTGGCATTTAGAGTAGATAGTCAAGGAAGAGTGTTTATTTGGTGTTTAGGGCGGATAGTCAAGTGAAAGCATATTGTGGCAGATAGTTTTGTCAAGTCTTGAGAAATGGAGGGATGCGATGATTACTTACCTGCTAGTTTGTGTTGGGATTGAGCACGTTAAATTTGTCACGTTAAATTTGTGAACTTGTCTACAATTAAAATACAAGTTCTCAAATTTAACACGCTCAATCCGGTGACTAAAGAAACTCTGTGTTGCCAGGTATGCCAACTTGCTGGACCTGGCGAACCAGCGTCGGGAGAACGTGCAGGAGTCGAACCGTGCCTACCAGCTGGTTCGTGAGGCGGCCGAACTGGCAGCCTGGATCACGGAGAAGGAGAACCTGATGGCCGGGGAGGAGGTGGGCGATGACCTGGAGCAGGTGGAGGAGATGCAGAAGAAGTTTGACGACTTCCAGAAGGTGAGACTGGCAGGACTTTGTTCTAGTACACAAGGTGATACGTTAGCTTTGTTAGGCAAGGTGATACGTTATCTTCGTTAGGCAAGGTGATACGTTATCTCCGTTACACTAGGTGAGACTGTCAGGCATTTGCTGTGTTACAAGGTGATACGTTAGCTTTGTTAGGCAAGGTGATATGTTAGCTTTGTTAGGCAAGGTGATATGTTAGCTTTGTTAGGCAAGGTGATATGTTAGCTTTGTTAGGCAAGGTGATATGTTAGCTTTGTTAGGCAAGGTGATACGTTATCTTCGTTACACTAGGTGAGACTGGCAGGCATTTGCTGTGTTACAAGGTGATATGTTAGCTTTGTTAGGCAAGGTGATACGTTATCTTCGTTACACTAGGTGAGACTGTCAGGCATTTGCTGTGTTACAAGGTGATACGTTAGCTTTGTTAGGCAAGGTGATACGTTATCTTCGTTAGGCAAGGTGATACGTTATCTCCGTTACACTAGGTGAGACTGTCAGGCATTTGCTGTGTTACAAGGTGATACGTTAGCTTTGTTAGGCAAGGTGATATGTTAGCTTTGTTAGGCAAGGTGATATGTTAGCTTTGTTAGGCAAGGTGATGTGTTAGCTTTGTTAGGCAAGGTGATGTGTTAGCTTTGTTAGGCAAGGTGATACGTTATCTTCGTTACACTAGGTGAGACTGGCAGGCATTTGCTGTGTTACAAGGTGATATGTTAGCTTTGTTAGGCAAGGTGATACGTTATCTTCGTTACACTAGGTGAGACTGTCAGGCATTTGCTGTGTTACAAGGTGATACGTTAGCTTTGTTAGGCAAGGTGATACGTTAGCTTCGTTACACTAGGTGAGACTGGCAGGCATTTGCTGTGTTACAAGGTGATATGTTAGCTTTGTTAGGCAAGGTGATATGTTAGCTTTGTTAGGCAAGGTGATGTGTTAGCTTTGTTAGGCAAGGTGATACGTTATCTTCGTTACACTAGGTGAGACTGGCAGGCATTTGCTGTGTTACAAGGTGATATGTTAGCTTTGTTAGGCGAGGTGATATGTTAGCTTTGTTAGGCAAGGTGATGTGTTAGCTTTGTTAGGCAAGGTGATTGTTAGCTTTGTTAGGCAAGGTGATACGTTATCTTCCTTACACTAGGTGAGACTGTCAGGCATTTGCTGTGTTACAAGGTGATATGTTAGCTTTGTTAGGCAAGGTGATATGTTAGCTTTGTTAGGCAAGGTGATGTGTTAGCTTTGTTAGGCAAGGTGATGTGTTAGATTTGTTATCTCCCTCCCCCACCTCCTAACAAGACCTTCTGTTCATCACGCCTCTGTCTCCATGACATTTGTACTTGCTTGACTATAACCTATGTCCTTGACACCTAGGGAAAAGAACTGTCCGTGGCTATAAAGTGAGTAATTTTAAAGTCAGATTAGTAATTTGTTTACTATTTGCTAAGACATAATGTGCTGGTGCGTGGGCTCTCTGAGCATGTTGCCGAAGTTGGCTGCACATTTTGAGTTGGTTAGGTGTCTCATGTAACAGACATGAGTTGGTTAGGTTAGGTCTCTCATGTAACAACAGACATGAGTTGGTTAGGTTAGGTCTCTCATGTAACAGACATGAGTTGGTTAGGTGTCTCATGTAACAGACATGAGTTGGTTAGGTGTCTCATGTAACAGACATGAGTTGGTTAGGTTAGGTCTCTCATGTAACAACAGACATGAGTTGGTTAGGTTAGGTCTCTCATGTAACAACAGACATGAGTTGGTTAGGTCTCTCATGTAACAACAGACATGAGTTGGTTAGGTCTCTCATGTAACAACAGACTTGAGTGTCAGTTATTGTTTTCTGGTGTACATTTGTCAGTTAAAGCATTAGGATTCTTCGTTTCCTTTGTCAAGTGTCAAAGACTGGTGTACATTTGTCAGAGAATCGAGACCATGCACATTATTGCAAAGAAAAAACATTTCTGAAGTTGGTTATTTCTGCAGTTCGCATCAGGCAGCGTAGAAAGTCTGGCGTGGCCTGAAGAAATACTCGGACTCTGCATTTTTAAAAAGTTTATTCTTTTCCCATTTCCTCTCAGTGTTACTCAGATTCTTGTAAAGCTCATCTCATCTGGACCAGCATCTGTTGTCTAGCTGTTAGCCTCTTTGCCTTCACATGCTGGAGATCCGTTCCATTCCCATGTTGGGAAATGTTTGTCCATTAACCCTATCTTTGTGCGGGGATGTTGTATCCCTCTCTACCCCTATCTTTGTGCTGGGATGTTGTATCCCTCTCTACCCCTATCTTTGTGCTGGGATGTTGTATCCCTCTCAACCCCTATCTTTGTGCTGGGATGTGGTGTCCCTCTTGTCCTGGGATGGTTCATTGTCCCAGCTCCTTGTGTCCCTCTCGTCCTGGGATGGTTCGTTGTCCCAGCCCCTACATGATCTAAGCTGTGTTGTAGAAACACTATCATTAAAAGAACAAATTGTTACATTTGTATTGTAATCTGTTACATTTGTATTGTAATCTGTTACATTTGTATTGTAATCTGTTACATTTGTATTGTAATCTGTATCCAGGACCTGAAAGCTAACGAGGCGCGCCTCCAGGAGCTCAACAGCATTGCTGACCGTCTGACGGCCATGGGACAGACCGAGGCTGCTGAAAAAATCCGGGAACAGATCACGGTGAGTTTCCCTCCAAGCTTTTGTTTTGTCGTGGGGGAAAATGTACGTTTTGGAAAGAGCAGTGTATGGCACACATGGAACTTTTTCACTTTGGCACCAATTTGGAATTTTGTCTGGATGGCGGCTGAAGCCTACTCTTATCGATTTTAGAACCACCAAGGGATCTTTAACATGTGCAACTTGCATACAGGACCTTTGTGAATTTTTTGCCCTTCCCCATATTATTACTTTGATCTTCAACTATTTTCTTAATCATTATTATCATTGCTTTCATCATTGTTATTATCGTCATCATTATTATTATTATTTCTATTTATGTCATTATGGTTATTGTTCAGTATGATATTTGTTTGTCCAGCAACTGAACCAGCGTTGGGTGACCCTGCAGCAGGTGACAGCGGAGAGAGCTCAGACCTTGAGCAACTCCTTTGAGGTTCAGCGTTATCACAGGTGAGCCCACTTGACTTGTGTGTGTGTGTGTGTGTGTGTGTGTGTGTGTGTGTGTGGGTAGGTGAGCCCACCGGACGTGTCTGTGTGTGTGTATATGTGTGTGCGTGTGTGGGTAGGTGAGCCCACCGGACGTGTGTGTGTGTGTATGTGTGTGTGTGTGGATAAATGAGCCCACCGGACTTGTGTGTCTGTGTGTGTGTATATGTGTGTGTGTGTGTGGGTAGGTGAGCCCACCGGACGTGTGTGTGTGTGTGGGTAGGTGAGCCCACCGGACGTGTGTGTGTGTGTATGTCTGTGTTTGTGTATGTGTGTGTGTGTGTATGTGTGTGTGGGTAAGTGAGCCCACCGGACGTGTGGGTGTGTT